CCCGAGCCCGCCGGCTGTTTAACCCAGCAGCTGGGGACTGTTTTGACAGCCTCCAGCAGGAAAAACCCTCCTGGGACCACCGGGGCCAGCCCCCGCAGCAGGAACAGCACAACACTGGGGAGGGGGGGGCCGGGGCAGACCCCTCGATCAGCACGGGCTCGGTGGGGGTATCGCCTTCCCTCTCCGGGGCCGGGGCCGTGTTCCTGACAGCTTTGTTTGGAGCTTCACCTCCTGCAAATCATTCAGAGCCTCATCTCCTGCCCCTCAAATTTCGCTCCTGGTGCAGGGAAGGCACCAAGAGCCCCCGGTTCCTGGTACTTCGTGGCATCAAGCAGTTCAATCCTGTAGGGTGCACGCACCAAGAGCCCCCAAGAGCCATGGGCTGTGACGTCCCCACGCCGTGCGCGGCCCCGCTCCCCTCGCAGCACCGAGGTTTCCAGCCCCTCTCCAACATTTCCGCTGTAAAACCCAGCAGGCGCACGCCTGATTGAGGCCAGGCACTGAAAAACCCCTCTCGCCCACACACCTGGCCCCGGCGCTGCCCCCAAGCATGGGGCCCCCCCACCTGAACCCCGCTCGGGGTAGGGATGGAAACGCGCACGGCCGCGGGATGCGGTTTTGGAGCTTGGATCCCGATCACCAGGGAGCCCCCCAGTCCCTGGGGATGGGAGAGACACCCCAAAAGGGATGGAAAAGGGATGTCCCGGTGTCACCCTGGGGGGCAGGCACATCCCCAGGCAGCGGGGTGGAGGGTCTGGCAACGTCCCCATGGTGTCCCAGAGCCATGTGGGATGGAAGGGACCCTACAGAGCGTTTGAGGGACACCTCCCACTAAACGCACACCCCTGGGACTACATCAAAGGGCTCCGAGCCACAGCAGCACCAGGATGGCAGCGAGCACCGGGGACGGGGCTGTGCCACCACCCTCGGGTGACACTGCCGTGACACCGCTCAGGCTGATGCCACCTCCCCACCTGGACCCAAAACCAGCCCCGGGAGGAGCCAGCCCCCACGGCCCCGTGCCCTCCTGGTTCAAAAGGGGGCACAACCACCCCCCCTCCTTGGCACCGACCCCGATCCCACAGGCTTCATGTGAGCGGAAACCCCCCCAGCGAGCAGTGGAGCCCCAGGCAGGGCAGCAGGACGCTTTGCCCCCCCATGGTCACACCAAGCTGACCCCCCCAGGCATTCCACGATGGCTGCGTGATGCTGAGCACCCCAAAAACCCCGTCCTGCCTCCCGGGCACAGGATGGGAGCAGCTCCCCGGGCAGCACCCAGCCAGCACCCAACGCTGCCGGCACAGGGGCACGGAGCATCATCTCTCTCGGCAGGAGCGTTCCTGAGAGCAGCGGAGGACTGGAGGTTGCAGAGTTTAAATAAACTTGAAATCCGACTCAACTTCCTTCCCCAATTTCACAAGCTCAGCTTCCTGCGTCTCGGCAGCCGGCCGGGCGCGCTGGGGTGCCGCAGGCAGCTCCGGCACAGGGGGGTGCCGCTTTCCCCCCGACCAACGCCGCGCTTGGGGGGCTGCAAAAGGCCCTTGGGGGCTGCAAAGGGCCCTTGGGGGGGCGTTTCTGCAGCCAGCCCGGCTTCTCAGCCCCCCCCCCAGCCAAGGAGTCAAACAGCCCCGGGTTCCTGCTCACCACCAGCGCTCCCTGACACAGCAAAACCACGCGTGCAGCAGGGCCGGGCGCCAGCAGCTCCAGGGCCCCGCTCCCCCCGCAGCACCCCCGGCTGCCGGAGCCCACCAGGAGCCCGGTGCCGCACGGAGAGGGGGGGGCCCCGAGCCCAGGCCAGCCCCGCTGAGCTCTGCGGGGAGCCGCAGCGAGCTGCTGTGCAGCAACCACGCTGTGAAGGTCACCTGCAGAAGGAAAGGGGGAGGTTGTTGGCTTCCCGGGGTTGCTGAGCGAGCACACGAGGTTTTGGGGTCTCCCCGCTCAGCACCGCGGCGCGCAGCACCCGGCTCAGCCCCTCGCTTCCTTCCCCGGCCGCATCCGCCAGAGCCGGCGAGCTCCAACGGGCCCACGAAGCGACCCGGAGGGCTCGGGACTGGTGGCAGGGGGAAGGCAGACCCTAAAAATGGGGCAGGAGCCCACCGGAGCACGGTGTGGGTCCCTGCTGCAGGGACCCGCTGGGTGCGGGGCCGGGCGCACCCCCAGGGCTGCGTTTCTCGCTGCTGGCGGCGGCGCTGCTGCAGGCATCAGCCATTGCGCTCAGTGGCGCACCAGGAAGCCCAAAAAACACCCCCGTGCCCTAAATAACCCCCCCCCGGCACCCAGCTCCACGCGGCCCCGGTGCCAACAGGGCCACCGAGGCTCTCAGAGGGGAAGGAGGAAAATTTCTTTTATATGTGAAGGCCGAGGGTGACATCTCCACGGCCTCCTCCTGCCGGGGCAGGGCAAGCAGAAGAGCCAGGGCCCCCCCCTTTCTTGATCCTCCCAACCCTGGGGGCTCCACGAGGCCCCAAAGATCGGTCCTGGTGGCTGCAGCACCTCTCGGCATCAGTGGGACCGTGCCCACCACCCAGCAGCTCCCAGCACCTTCCTGCCAAGACCCCCACGTCCCCCCACATCTCCCCTCGCTCCCACCAACAGCGGGGATGCAGAGACCCAAAAAAAGGGCACGGTAACACAAAGGGACAACATTGGGGCTTTTGTTCCCATCCTGCCGCACCCCAAAGGCGTTCGACCTCCTCCGCAATCCTTCCCAGAGCTGCCCTGTCCCCAGACAGCCGGGGGAGCTGGGACCTGCTCCACACAGAGGGTGGGGGTCCGGGAAGACCCCGCATCCCAGCTGCTCCCCCCCGCAAGGTGTCACACAAAGAAACCCGCAGGGCGGGAGGGGACCCGTGCCTTGTGCTTGGGCACAAAAGCAGCAGGGAGAGGAGAGGCTCGGCCCTCCTGTGCCAGGAGCCACGCAGCCCCCCCCCTCCAAGCACTGCGACCTCCCTGCTTTGTCTCGCAGCCTCCTCGCCCCCACCCTCCTTTGTCCTGCCCGTTCACCTCCCCACAGCATCCCCCCACCACCCCGCTGCCCACCGGTGGCACCCAGAGGGGGACACAGGCACCCTTCCCCTGAGCTGGGGGGGGTGGGAAAGGGATGGGTGCCTTCCCACCCCACCCCGATCCTCGCCATGGATGCCCCAGCCCCACCACGATGATGCCAGTGGAGGGGAGGATGCGCGTTTCCATCACCTCCTGCTCGTGGTCCCCTCCCCGTGCACCCGCCAGCAGCGCGGGCAGGGGCTGAAGGGTTCGGCCCTGCAGCACCATCCCTGACAGCACCCGCTCATCTCCTGGGGAAAAAAGGGACCGGCCCTGAGCCGGGGCCTTTGTTCCAAGGCTCCATCCCAAGAGAAACGCAGGATGGAGGACGGGAAGAGTGCGGCCAGCAGGAAATCTCCACCCGCAGCCACCGGCATCGCTCGGCTCCCGGGTCACTGCCCTGGCACGGCCACCCCTGACCTGCCCTGCACAGGCACCGGGGGAGCACCCACACGGGAGGGATGCTGTCCCCTCCCTGCTGCTCCCCCAGCCTGCCGGACCCCAGCCTGGCCCCAATTCCCAGCCTGTGGGGTGGAAGAAGGCAGAAAACCCCGAGCGGGCAGCGCCGGGAGGTGCCTGGGTGCACCCACACGCAGGCGGCGGCGGCAGGCGCAGCCCCACACCCCCCCCCATTTCCCCCTCCATCCCTGACGCTGCACCCAGCATCTTTTGTGCTCTGCCCAGGGCACTGCCTCTGCACCTCCCTTCGAGCTCTAACCCACCCCCTTTGCATTCTGCCATCCGCACCCCATCCACCTCGAGCCTTCGCGGGCACGGGGCCGCGGCACCCCTCGGGTCACCCCTTGGGTCACCCCCTGGCCCTTCCCGCAGCCCCGCTGGTGGGCTCCGAGGCAGGAGCAGTGGGATGGGGAGGGTCTGAGCCTTCCCTCGCCCCTCTCCGGCAGCCTGCGGGGAGCTCGGTGCACCCAGGGCCTGACCCAGGGCAGTGCGGAAGCCGCGGGCTGAGCTGGGGCAGGCACGGGGTGAGCGGGAGGAAACCGAGCACCCAGCACCCACGCGGGGTGGCAGCTCCGACCGGGACCTGCTTCACTCGTGGGCTTCCACCGGGGTCTTAACCCCCTTCTGCTGGGTTTGGGGATGCGGGGGCTCCTTCCTGGCAGGGAGAGGAGCGAAGAAAACGCCGCGGGTCGCAGGACCCCAGCGGCTGCGCTCAGAATGCACCCAGCCGGGTACGGCGCTAACAAAGAGCCCCCGCTCGGCTCCCAGCTCCATCCATCCCCTGAGGATCCGCAGCAGAGGTCGGGGATCTGCAACCCAGCCCCGGGCCCCATCCCTATCCCCTCCCCAAGCCTCCCCCCCCCCAAAACCCAGGCATGAATTCGGTGCCTGGCAGCTCCTTTATGGAGGTGCAAGACCCGTGAGGGGCATTGTTCCCAGCTTGGAGACAGCACAAAGGACACGGAGATGCTGCATCGCCCCCCCAGCACATCACAGGGACCCCCCCCCCGCGTCCCCTGGACACCACCGGGGGTCAAAGCCAAACCCAAATCTGCCAAGAGCCCTTTGGGGGGTGGGCAACGAGGTGCAAGGGAAGGGTCTGGGGTCCCCCCTGCACTGCGGGGCCGGGCAGCAGAGCAGTGATGGTGCTGATGGGGGGGGGCAACCCCAAAAAAGGGGGGGGGGGGCTGGGAGGGCTCTGCACTGATCGTGGGACCCCCGTGCTGCCCTGGAGAGGGGGGTAGAACAGGGTGGGGGTGAAGCCCAAGGTGGGTACAGAGCCCCCGGGGGCGCACCGAGCTCCCCTTGGGGGCGCACCGGGTGCGCCCCAGATGCGCACGGAACCCCCCCGGGGATGCACCGAGCCCCCCATGGGGGTGCACCGAGCCCCATGGGGGTGCACTGGACCCCTCCCAGGATTGCACCGAGCCCCCCCACCCCCGTCCCGGGACCACCGGGACCCCCGGGACCACCACCCCCGCCCCGGAGGCGCTCACCTCACGGCCACCTTGACGCAGCTGTCCGGGGCCGCCATGCCCCCCCCGCCCGGGCACCGCGGCCGCCGCTGCCCGAGAGCATCCGCGGGGGGAGGAGGAGGAGGAGGAGGAGGAAGAAGAGGAGGAGGAGGAGGAGGAGGAGGAGGAGGAGGAGGAGGAGGAGGAAGAGGCAGGGGGAGGAGGAAGGCGGCGGCGGCGCCCCAGGTGCCGGGGGCGGTCCGGGCGCTGCCGCCGGGGTCGGTGCCGCCGGGGGGGCTCCGCAGAGAGCGGGGCCGGGAGGGGCGGGGGCTGCGAGATTTGGGGGGGGGGGTGGGGTTGGAAGGGGGCGGGGCTTCGAGGGGCGTGTCTGGGCGTGGTCACGGTGGGCGGGGCTTCGGGGGCACGCCCCCGGCCAGGCGCGCACACGCGCACGGTCGGGCACGCGCAGCCCCCCCCCCCCGTTTACACGCGCACCCCTCCACCAGCACCCCCAGTCTGTCCCTGCTGCCCTCTGCCGGGCCGGCGGCCCCGTTCCTGGGTGTACTGGGTGTACTGGGCTGTACTGGGCTGTACTGGGCTGTGGTGGGGGTACTGGGAGGACTGGGTGTAACTGGGATGTATGGGGCTGCATCGGGTGTACCAGGCCATACAGGGATGCAGTGGGAGTACTGGGAGGACTGGGTGTAACTGGGATGCAGTGGGTGTACTGGGAGTACTGGGTGTACTGGGCTGTACTGGGCTGCAGTGGGGGTACTGGGAGTACTGGGTGTAACTGGAATGTTTGGGGCTGCACCAGGTGTAACTGGGCCATACTGGGCTGCAGTGAGTGTACTGGGAGTACTGGGTGTAACTGGGATGTATAGGACTGCACCAGGTGTACAGGGCCATACTGGGCTGCAGTGGGGGTACTGGGAGTACTGGGTGTAACTGGGATGCAGTGGGGGTACTGGGTGTAACCAGGACATATAGGACTGCACGGGGTCATACAGGGCTGCACTGGGTGTACTGAGCCATATAGGGCTGCACCGGGTGTCCTAGAGTGTGCACGGCTGTACCTGGCCATACAGGGCTGCACCAGGTATACTGGGCCATAAAGGGCTGCGCTGGGTGTACTGGGCTGCACCAGGCCGTGCAGGGCTACACCAAGTGTACCAGGCCATACAGGGCTGCACTGGGTGTACTGGGCCATATAGGACTGCATGGGGTCATATGGGGCTCCACTGGGTTTACTGGGCCATACAGGGCTGCACCAGGCAGTACCAAGCGGGTGCCAGGGCCGTGTGGGGCCAGCTGCCACCCCAGCCGTGGTGTCACCCCGCTGAGGGGGCAGCAGGGTGCTGGGTGCCCCCACCAAAGCCCCCCGGGGCTGGAGGGCTGGTGACACCATGTGCTGCCCTACAGAGCCCACCCCATGCTCCATCCCAAGGGAGAACCCCCCCAAATGCCACTCTGGGGCAGAGCAGCCCCCCTGCAGCCCCAAACCCCAGCAGAGGGTGCGGAGGCATTGCCCCATTGCTGCTGTAGGACCCCCTCACCGTGTCACCCTTCGTGTTTGGGGGCTCCAGTGAGCTCCCCCCCACCCCTCCACCCTCAGAAGGGGGCACACGCAGCCCTGCACCCCCCGTGGGGCCCACAAACCATCACTGCCCACCCCCAAAACCCTCTTCAGGAGAGGGCAGAGGTGTTTAGGGTCACCTAAGGGGCTGCGTGCCCTGCCCTAGGGCAGGAGCAGGGGATTCCCAGGGCTGCCCCTTCCCGATCCCACAGCCCCTGGGGGAAGGGGGCTGCTCCAGCACGTCCCCTGTGCCAGAAGGGCTCCCCAGAGCTCGGGCTGCAGATGGAGCTCAGCAACAGCCGTTTCCCTTTTATTAAGTTAACAAAATGCCCTGCTGGAGCGCAGACAAGCGCTATTGATTCAATACCTCTCCTGGGACCTATCGGTTTGCTGCATTTTAATATATATTAGGCAAGGAAAAGCCCTGAATCACCCACTTTGGAGGGGCTGGAGACCCTCTGAAGCAAGAACCCTACAGATGCCCGAGGGAGACGGGGCTGCCCCAGTGCCTGGCACCCAAATTCCTCCTGGGGCACCAGAAGTCTGTAAAACCAAGCCCCGGGGCAGACCCCTTTCTGGAGAGAAATAAATCCGGCTGCTGCCCCAATTTGCAGTCAGCAGCCCTGAGCGGTGCAGTGGGGCTGGCAGAGGAAGGAGGGGACGAGGAACGCAGGGACTCACACAGCAGGGACACTTTAATGACCCATCCAGCTCTTCCCAGACCCTTCTGGCACAGCATTATCCTGTCCCGTCACCAGCATCCCAAAGCCACAGCCCCAAAAAGGTGGCGAGATGCCTGTTATTGCTCTGGTAGCCCCCACAGGGTCCTGAAAGGGGCTGTGCCCAGGGGGGCCGCAGTGGCAGGCGGCTCACGGGTGAGCAGCAGGGTTGGATTTTTGGGAGGCGGCTGCGCGGAGCCCCGGGGAGCCGGCTGGTGACGCAGCCGAGGTGTCCCAGGGGACAGAACCGGCGTCCCGCGGTGCTTCTCTTCCCTTCAGCAGCTCCACAGCCGCCTCCTCCACTTCATCCATCTCCAGCTGGCTGCTGGCTGCCATCTCAGCCCTGGTCATCGCCACGAAGGACGGGTCCCGGGCCAGAGCCTCAAGGCCCCCGGAGATCAGAGCCTGCAGCAGAGGACGGGGTCACACTCGCTGCCTTTGTCCTGCTCCGATCCCCCCCCGTGCCACGAGCAGCCCCCCGCCGGCCCCTTTCCCTCCCCGGCAGCTCTGCCTCTCCCCCCCCAGCCCCTGCCTTACCTCCTGGATGAGGAAGGTGATGGCCGGGGTGGAAGAAGTGCTGGGGACGCCGCTGTCGTCCCGCTGCTGTTCTGAGGACGGCTGGGTGAGAGGAGCAGAGAGCAGCGGCTCAGCCTCGGGCAGTGCCCACAGAAAACCTCTCCCACGTAAATGTGAGGGCTGCAGGGACCAGTCCCCAGCATGTGCACGCAATCCCATCCCTCTGCAGCCCCCGAGCTTCACCTCCTCTGCCCCACACCGTCCCCGTTACCTCCTGGGGCAGACGGTGCTGCCCTGACGCTGGGAGATGCCCAGAGGCGGCTCCTCGCCTCCTGCTCGGCCTCTGCTGCAGCCTCTCCGAAGGGAAAGGGAGGTCACAGCCTAGGAGAAGGACAGGAGGGGACATCGGGGGGGCACAAGGGCAAGACCACGACAGCCACCCAGAGGGGACCAGCTGGGAAAGGGTTATCTAAACTCAGGGGAACCGTGTGGAGGGGTTTTGGACTGCTGCAAGTCCCAGCTCCTTCCTCCTGCCTGCCAAAACCACCCCCCCCGAGCAGGCTCAGGACCCCAGGACAGGGACGATGCCGACACTCACCCTGTGCTGGAGGCCTGGGTGCTGCCGGCGTCGTCTTCCTCAGCACCTCGTCCTCGTACTGCAGCCTGGCAGGGGCAGGCAGACGGGGCAGCTGAGCAGGGAGCCCCGCTCTGCACCCAGCTCCAGCCACGGCCGCAGCCCTCCCCACCTTCTCCACCCCCGGGGGACACAGCTGGGATGGATGAACAGGGTGGAGACCCCAAAAAGGAGAAGTATGTTCTCCTACACGGGTAACCCTCATCCCTTGTACCCATGTTGGGCACTGGGGGCCTCTACCTGGGCCTTGGCACTCAGAGATTGTGATGCTAACAGCGGTGAGATGAAGGAATGAGGAGAAGGACAAGCTCAGGGACACATGCACATTGTGTATGGGGCCTCACATCAGTCCTGGAGCTACCCTGCGTGTCCTGGAGACACCTCTGGACATGCAGACACCCCTACCTCACACCCCAAGGGCTAAATTTCTGCACGGAGCTCCTGCACCTATGGGGCTGCTTCTGCCTTGGCATCCAGCCCCTGGTTCCTCCCCGCAGTCCTCAGGGAGCTCCCTGCTACAACCCTGCCCCTTCTCCAGATCTTTCCTAGCCCCACGAGGATCCCCTGGGCACGACCAACACACAGCATTGCCACCAGCACAGCCTCGCTGGGGGCTGCAGGGCTGCAGGGCACGGCCCCCAGCTCTTCCCCCAACCTTGCCATGCCCACACGAGGCTCACCAGCCCTTACCCCTCCGGCCAGTTGCTGTTGTTGGTGTTGGTGTTGCCTTCCTGGGGGAATTCGTCGAGGAAGACAGGGGAATCGAGGTCTTCGCTGCCCACCTCTGCGAACTGCAGGGGTCTCTGGCTGGTGACGTGGGGCTGCAGGGGGCTGCTCGGCTCCAGGAAGCTGTCGACCTGGCCAAACAAGCCGCCTGTCCTCTGCAACCAACGGGGAGGGCGTCAGGGGAGGCCTGGAGCTCTGGGAGGCTTTGGGGCCATTCCCACAGAAGGAAACATGTTTGGGGGCCCGTGGGGCAGCAGGGAGAGAAGTGGATCTGTCCCCGTTGTGGTGGCACCCAGCTGTCCTGCCTTAGCCTGGCAGGAGGGGTGGATGGGGCCCTCCTAACCTGGGTGCCAATGTTCACCACATCCCTGCCAGGCATGTGAGCATGGTCTGTAAAAATAGAGGGGGAAACTGAGGCGAGAAACACAGAATCATAAAAGAACCCGAGTTGGAAGGGACCCATAAGGATCATTGAGTCCAACTCCTGGCACCGCACAGGTCTACCCAAAAATTCAGACCATGCACGTGCTGCTCAGGGCGACTGGGCCAGGATATCCCGATGCTCAGGGAGAAGGAAGACAGAAGCACTGATATAATCGTGGTGGCCCACGCTGCCTGTCATGGTTAGGATTATCTCTGAGGCCTGCTGGTCGCCACGCTGAGCCCCCACCAAACAGTGGGGTGCCCCGCAGGCTGTGCTCACCCTGTATATCCCTTCCTCCATGGCAGCCTCCACCATCGCTCTTTCCAGCTCCTCCTCAGCCATCAGGTCCCCAGAGATGGCTCGATGGATTTCGGGAGCTGCTTCTTCTTCAATGCTCCTCAGCCCGGCCTGGTGGGAACAAGAAAGCATGGCTGGAGCTGGCCTGGCCCCACAACCCCTCTCACATGGGGCTTTGGAGAAGGAACGGTGATGGGGCTCACTCAGGAGGTCTCCAGGCCTTGGCAAAGGCCGTGGTCACCCTGCTGCTGGCCCTGTGCTTGGTGAAACAGCTTTGGGCTGATGCTGCCCCACAAAGGGGTTTGCTA